TTTCCTAATCACCTTGAACCTACAATGTTTGTTCATCATGAATTATTCCATGATGTTTTTTTTTTCTTTTCTAAGACATAATCCCTTCTTTAGACCTACTTATAACTTAGAACGGTAAAATTTTATAGATTTTTGCTAAAGTAACCCACTCTGCAAAAACGGATTTACATCTTTATAATGAATTTTCTCAACAAATACAGTCTTTTGTAGAAAACGACTGTGGCATCTGTAAGGATGCCACAGTAACTCTTTAGTTACTATTGTAGAGACATTAGGTTAATTGGAAGCAGGAGAGATGAAAAATGAGCAACGCCTTCTCCGGGAATCGAACCACGGACCTCCGGAATACGCTCCCAGCATGCTGAGCACTACACTACGAAGGCATGCTAAGGAGGCGGGAGAAATACCTTATATTATACCCCCTTTTAAAGGACACCTGGGGTTTTTAGGAAACCCAATCGCCAAATCCTGGGTGTGGAGGATGATCATCCACAATCCTTTCTAGTTCGAGCTCTACTGTAGAGTTATTAGGTCATTTTTAAATCAGGAGTGATAAACAATGAGCAACGCCCTCCCCGGCAATCGAACCACGGACCTCTGGAATACGCGCCCAGCGTGCTAAGAAGGCGGGGAAAATACCTTATACTACAAGATTATTTTTGCTCAAATTGCTTAACAGAAATTTTTATTTAATCTACACTACAAATTTCACATTTATCAGAGCTTAGTTTACTACCTGAATGTTATACGAATGAATAGTTATCTCACCCTGGTTACTTTATTTCAGAATTTTTTATAAAGCCATTGACTCATAACATTTTACAAAGTACCCTTGTTTTGTCTTCCTAACCTGGAATATCCGCTGTTTCACTAACTTACCACATCCATCAATTTTCTTAGTTGCTATCAGTGTACATTTTCCGAAAACTCTTAGAGGTCAGCTATTTGCATTTTGCAATTTCCTCCCTTTTCACACCCTTTCTGACTTTTTTTAATGTATATTCTTTGCCTGGTACTGCTGATTTACTTTTGTGCTCATTTGTAACTTTCTGATCTAGTTAGTATGACTTTCGACCTTTGGTCAAAAATTTCAGTCAATCCGATCTTTGAAATTTTTTCACATGAACAGTGTGCTTTATATTATAAGGAGGAAATTAATTTTAAATGCAAATTAAATTTTTCTTTTTATTTATTTAATTTATTCATAATTTTGCCATTCTTTTCCCTTCATTACTTTCTTTAGTAAAATTCCTGAATTAAATTCATAATTTTGTCTTTCTATTGCGAAACTTTTATTTGGTATTAATATTAAACATTAAATAATTTTCTAGAACTCTAAATTCAACTATTAGAAGAAATGCAAAATTGACTCGACACTGATTATTTCGGAATAGTTTTGTAACTCTAATGAGCTGTTTGAAATACAATATACGCACGCTTTAGTGTTTCCAAAGAATTTCAGGATAGAGAAATATAGAATACGTGAATGTTAATAATTTTTTTTTTTTTTTAAATTTCTCAGTGTTTGTGTATGATGTCTTCTCTGCGTACCTCGACGTTATCATATGGAATGAAATGCAATAGAATAATGGAATTAAAAGTTATAATACTTTCGTCACGTGATGAATAGGGCATATATTTTAAACGTACAGAACAAAAGTTTAACGCAAATATTAAAATACATTGTTGTGAGTTAAATTTTATAGTGAAGCAATGAATTACAAGATGAAAGAATCTGATGTGTACACCACATGACTTCCTTGTACCGAATATTTAATTATACGCAGTATTATTTGCTGGATTTCATTTAAACTCATTTCCTCGAATTTCATCAGATTTATATTTCTCATTCAACTGATTCTGTTCTCAATTCACGGCAAGGCAAAAATACATAAAACCTCAAAATACCTTCATTAAAAATTTTAAAATATAGAAAAAATGAAACACCAAATACAGTCAAGTTAATCAAAAAAAACTTTACAACTAAAATTAGAATTTCTGCACAAAAACAAGTAATTCGGTCAGCAGCTAAAAAAACAGATTTTTCGGTGCACAAAAACGAAAGTTTACGTTTAGTCTCACTCGGCAAAAAGACACTGAAGGTGAAGAAATTGGTTCCACTATTCTGCTAAGTTTTAAACGTACTCAAATATGGCTGCTATGGTAAGCAAAAATTAGGCTTAGCTGCACTTAAACAACTTTTAAATTGTTGATAATTCTACAACTATTGCGTGCATATTAACTAAAGTCATAAACCCTTAACCGGAAAACAAGAACAATAAAATTCAAATATTTTAAAAGCAAAAAATGCGCAATTTAGCAACATATAAGAATAAAAAAATGAGCTCACTGAACCAAGTAACACAGTGAGTGTATATATATGTAGGATGAGAAATATGAGGGCAGGTTTCTGGTTTTAATTGGCTATAATCTCTTTTAGTTTTATTTAATATAGGAATATCCTCTCGATCTTAGAAACAGGGCCATAAGTCTAAACTGCGTCATTCAAATACATCATGCGATCTTACGTAACGCTTAATGCAGATATTTCTTGTTCAATCAAAATAATTGTAAGCCAAAACTAACTCGAAATGAAACTTTTCGACTCCATCACTTCTTCCTCTGAAGTACTGCGACACTCTCTCTCTCTTTTCGTTTATGCTTTCATCCTGTTAAGCCACTTCTGCTATCATCTGTGTGCGCTTCCATTGCCACAGTATCAAAATTGTTCTCAAAATAGGCACGATTGAAGTGCCAAGTGAATTGTGACCACAAACGAGAATTTAAATAAATATGAAATTTAATCCAGCTCGACTGATTCTTCTTCAAAATGGGTGGACGTTCTAAGCATCAAGTATCTTCGCAATCAGCATTTCTACGCGTCTACATCTCAGTGTTCTTACATCAGTGCTTCCAAAATTGTGCTATTATTACACATTTTTTCTACGCATTTTAAATTGCTATACGTATATATATATATATATATATATATTATTATTATTATTATTATTATTATTAGGACTAGTATGTCTTTTGGTTTGTTTCGGGAATATTGCGTGTCCTGGCTGGACTAGGAGTTTGACTACAAACTATGCCTAGAGGAATGTTGAAGAGCTAACAAGATAAAAGAGTTTAGTTACGCTTTATTTTCCACAATAGTACAGGCGCTCCCACACTTCGGGATACAAAGACCAACCACTTGTGGTCTGAACGTAAAAATATAAAAACTAATAGCTAACTAAAACTAAGAGCTAACTTTAAACTAGTTTAACCCAATGGCCTAACGCAAAGACTGGCCTTTTAAATTCTTACGCATGTAGTACGCAAACTACCGAAAGTACAATAGGTTTTAAATAAAGAGAGAACTAAACCTCTGGCCTTAAAAGGCAGACAGGAGCTGATTGAAAACTCGTGCGGAATGCAGTGACAAGGTGGCTCACTTTCCCTCTCTAACTCTTGGCAAAAAGCCACAACTTAAATACTTGGGCGTTAGCAAGTACAATTTGCATACACAAGTTAATGCATTTAATTCTGGCCGGAAGTGAAAAATAATAAAAGATAGTAAAGTTTTAAAATAAAATAAAGGTTAGTAAAACTTAAGATCCTTACATACTTCCCGCCAGAGTTGATTAGTTTGAAACTGAGGTCTAAACGACCTTAATAAAATTGTCAAACAATCAAATGACACGTAACATGAACACGTATATTTTTTCTTTTAAAATTCTATTCTTATTTCATTCATACCTTTATTTAATTACCTCCCCGTGGTCTCTGACATGTGTTGTAAAGAGAAACACCAAACTCGAGCGTGTCTATGTGCAAGTGTTCAACACTAGCGCCTAGAATCAAAACACTAACGTGTTAAAATTCAACATAACGAGACCTTAGAACACACCTTACATTCATCTCTAAGCCCTGAGGTACTATTCTAAGCAAGTGGCTAACTCTGCATTGTAGCGTCAGAGAGCCTACCTACCTTTATTCATTCCAAATTGCGTAACGCTTTTTTCAGTCACACCATTAAGTTAAAACTTTGGCATTTACACCATATTTTCACTTTTAACATATCACAGTACTTTTTAACTTCTAAAGTAACAGTTCACCTGTACATAAAGAACACATTAAAATGCCATTAATTTTACGCATTTCAAAACATACATTAGTAGTAAAATGTTTTGTTAATTTTCACTTCTTCAAAGCAAGTGCTAATTCTTTTATATTTAAATACTACATTTCAAAAAGCTCTTCAGACTAAAATATCTTTTCTTAACAGAATCTTTTAAATAAAACTTTCTACAATATTTTTTACAATGTTTTTAAGGTACCTTTCTTATACAGTTACAAAAGCTTTTACAATACTCAAGTATTTGCACATTAGTATTATAAAACTATTATAGAATAATTTTAGATTACTCGCTAGTAGTTGAAAGTAACAAATAGGTAAAACTCAATTTCTCGCCTTTTTGGCGATAAAGGTAGACCTCACATGAGGTAAAACTTCTCTTTAAATTCTGCCACTTGCAGTAAGAACGAAAAATTAACTTTTAAGTTTCAAAGTAACATAAAGTGTTACTTATCTTTGCGATATTCAGACATCCGTTTAGCCGCCCAGTCCTGAAAGGTAGCGAAGACCCATTGTCTGGTTTATCCTACGTCTTGTTCGAGTGTGCCCTTCTGTTTCTTCCTCAATGTGTTTTCTTTTTGGGCGTGCTTGATGGACCTTGAAAAACTTCTTCTTAACCGTCGGTTGTATTCCTGGACGCTTGATGGGCGCTGTCCTAGGAGGTATCGGGACATCTTTATCCGGTTGTTACCTGGATCTGGTTGTTCGCTGTTCGAACTTTTGTAGCTGCCTTGAATCTGCAACTCGCTTTTCCTGGTCGATTCGCGGACATTTGGTGCGTAGAATTCTTTCGGAATGTTTGCTCTTTCGTTTTTTACCAGTGCTATGGCTTCGGCCATTTCTCCTGGCTTTCTTCGCATTGCTGGAATTTCGCTCCTCAACCTGTTCTAACAGGATGAGGAGCCGGTCTTGCCCTCTCTTTTCTGGTCGGGGAAATAGCTTCCTTTTCTCGATACCTTCGGTTTTCCATCGGGGGGGCTTTTCTTTTCTTGCCTATGTCTTTACTCGTAGCTGACTCTGGCGGTTGTCGTTGTGCTATGTCTTGAGATTGTGGCTGCTTTGCCGGATCCTGCAAAAGATCTTTAAATATTTTATTACGATTATAATAAGGTTTGATTTGGTCAAGATTTGCGGTAAACGTTTCACCATTCGTGGCTTTTAAAACCAGTACAGCCGGGGTTACTTTTTCCACCACATATGGTCCTTAAAACCGCTGACAGAATTCAGCTACTTTATCTTCTGGTGCTGAAGAAAGTGAATGCTTAATTTTTAACATTTCGTCCCCACATTATAAGTCACTTCCCGTCATTTCATATCATAATACAATTTCTGCTTTCTTAGAGCTACTTCAGTGTTCTCCTTTCCCTTCTTAATTAATTTTTGTATATCTGCCATTTGAAATTCAGGGGCCCTTTTTTGAACATAAAACAACTTATCTAACGGAGTCAAAATTTTTTTGTCTAAAAATAACTCAGCCGGAGTTTTGCACGTCATGTCATGTTTGGCGGTCCTAAGGGCGAAAGCTAATTCATTGACATAGTTATCCCAGCTTTTATGAGAATTTTTAACAAAACTACGAAAAATTTCAAAACTATGTTTCTATTGACCCGCTCGGCTACATTTGATTGCGGACGATACGGGACCATTTTTAAATAACGTATGCCCAGTTTTTGGCACATCTCTTCAAAAATGTTATTTATAAACTGAGGACCAATATCCGATATAACGTTTAGGAGCTCCCCGTATTTTAAAACAAAATCAGTAACTAATTTCCCAGAGGCTCGTTTTAAGGGAGCAATTTCGGTCCATTTATTAAAATGCTCAACCATAACAAGGAGATACCGCCTTTTATTTAATTGACATTTCGGGACAGGGCCCAATAAATGGATGCCAATTATTTCATTTGGAAACACTGATCTAATGGCTATTTAGAAACACGACCATGCGTATTCTTCTTTGGGCACCACTGTCACGACTTGTATATCTTTTGATTTGTTCCGGGAACGTTGCGTCTCCTGGCTGGACAGGGAGTTCGACTACAAACTACGCCTAGAGGAATGTTGAAGAGCTAACAAGATGAGAAGGGTTTAGTTACCCTTTATTGTCCACAATAGTACAGACGCTCCCACACTTCGGGATACAAAGACCAACCACTTGTGGTCTGAACGTAAAAATATAAAAACTACTAGCTAACTAAAACTAAGAGCTAACTTTAAACTAGTTTAACACAATGGCCTAACGCAAAGACTGGCCTTTTAAATTCTTACGCATGTAGTACGCGAACTACCGAAAGTACAATACGTTTTAAATGAAGAGAGGAGTAAACCTCTGGCCATAAAGGCAGACAGCAGCTGATTGAAAAGTCGTGTGGAATGCAGTGTCAAGGCGGCTCACTTTTCCTCTCTATCTAACTCTTGGCAAAAAGCCACAACTTAAATACTTGGGGGTTAGCAAGTACAATTTGCATAAACAAGTTAACGCATTTAATTCTGGTCGGAAGTGGAAAATATAGTAAAGTTTTAAAATAAAATAAACGTTAGTAAAACTTCAGATCCTTACAATATATATATATATGTAAGATATCAAAAAAAAAAAAAAAAATACGATGGCTTTGCTCTTTGCGAACCAGCAACCTTTAAATAATTTTCTGCAATTCAGGATCTTACCCTAAACCAGTACCTTCTAGAACATTCGCACCTATTATATACCCTCCTCATATAAATGCTGCGTCATAAGTTTTTCTACATTTTTCTAGAAGCTACTCTGTTACATAACCTTTCATATATATGCTGTGTCATAAGTCATCCTACACAGACGTGTTTCTGCTCTTCTTGACTCACGCAGAAGCTTAGACTTTCATTTCGCTTCTCGCCACCATTTACGTATATAATCACCCATGCTATGCCATGATATGCAATTTAGCAAAACTTATTTTATGATTTCTCTCATTTATTGATCTCGCCTTCGGGCGCGGTGTATTTTAAATACACCTCTTAAATTTTTAACTTTATGGCCTATGGTAAAATGATAATATACTGGTAAGAGCTCCTAGTAGCTAAAGCCAGCAGTAAAGATATGATCCAAGATCCAAGATCCTACACAGATGCCTTCGTTCTGCTAACGCTTCCGCTATGCTCCTCTTTCTTTGTTAGAACGTTATGACGCATTAAAGTTTAAAGTCAGTCGTATCTAATAGTTCCATTACTGAATAAGTTATTTGATTAACTTCATCTGGAAAAAGTCATCTGCTCTAAATTAAAATAAAGATATGCTTGCTGTTAAAAGTGAAAAGTCCTGAGTCGTCATTTTTCTCCGTGCTTCAATCATCACAGCTTCGTCAACCATCTGCCAGAACGTGTAATGGAATAGCCTCACCATTCGCCCACGATGTGTTGGAATAACTGAAAACATTACAGTTATTAATTAGCCGGCAGAATTTATCCTCTACGTGGGAAAAAAGCTCCTGGATTTATTTATAACGCGCTTCTAAATTCAACAGTGGGTCAAGGACAGTATATGATCGTCTGATGCTTTTGCTTCTTTTCCGGCGATTCTTAAGTGCTTTCCCTTGACTCCAAAGTTACGCGTTTTATCGAGTGCTTCTAAAGTGATTGATTTTAGTGTTCAAATTGATGTGTATGCGAACTCTTAAATTCAAGATTTGGTGATTGGAATGCTAACACGCTAAAAAAACGGCAAAAAATGTCAACTGATAAGCAAGAATGCGTAGCTATTGTGGATACAGTGAAATTTCAGTTCCCTATTTTTGACGGCACAAGTACGAATTTTCCAATAGACAAATATCTTCTATTGTTTGAAAAGAAATGTGCCGCAAAGAACATTCCAGAAAAGGAAAAGAAATTTGTTTTCTCAGAGTGTATTAGAGGAGAGGCTTTAGCCCTCTATTTACGTGATTGTTTAGATAAAGACTGGAACAACATAAAGGATATTTTCGAGACATACTTCACAACATCGGAATCTGTTACTTTTAGTGATTTTGTGTCTTTAAAATACGATAAATTTAATTATATTGATGTTTATTTTCGTAATAAGTTGAAATTAGGAGCCAGCTTGAAACTAACAGTTTCCATAATGGTGGAAGCACTTACGGAAGGACTTCCTGAGTCTCAAAGAATGCTGTTAACAGTTCAAAAAAATAGACACACCGAAAGACTGGATTACTCTTGCTAGGAAACTGTTTCCAGTTCAGATGCCGTTGGATGGTCTAAGAAATAGTAATTACCAATTTGTTGCTCCAAGGCAAACTGTTCCGAGGTGCTATTATCCCAGACCAGTGCAAGCCACTCCTTATCAATGTTTTCGTAGTGTGAGACCTTTTAATTATCAAGTGCAATACCGACCTCAACAGTATGCGTATAGGCCAATTCGATATCCACAATTACCTGCTATTAATTATAACACGGTTCCTAAAAGAGAAGTTAAAAAATGATATTACTTTAAAGTGAATGTCCGAATTGGACAGGAAAAAATTCCCAGTATTATTGATACGGGATCGCAAATTAACGTTTCACCGTTAAAAGTTTATTATCATTAGAAGAAATAAAAGAATATTAAAATTTAGATAATGTTTGTAATACTAAGTATAGGAAAATGAATGATGTCTTAACTATCAAAAAACAGGGATTGTACAAAATTGTGATACCCATGTCTCTACGTACGAAATTACTTGAAAAGGCCCTTATACAATTTGGTCATATTGGTGTATCATCTATGCTAAATTTGTTATCTCCACAGTATTATTGGCCAGGAATTTTTCAAGATGTTAGAAATTATTGTAAACATTGTGAAGTATGTCAGTTTAATAAGAAAAGTAAACAAAAAAAATTTGGTTTAATGCAAAATTTACCATCAGTTAGTGAACCTTTTGAAATATTATCTATTGATGTGTAGGTGGTTTAAATTATTATAATTCTACTAAAAAGTATATTCACATAATTATTGATCATGCAACTAGATATATCTGGACTTTTGCTTCTAAAAGTGTAACTACAGATACTTATATAAATTGCTTAAAACAAATTTTCCAAATTCAGGTCCCTAAAAAGATTTTAAGTGATAGGAACGCTGCTTTTACATCTTCAAAATTTAAGCACTTAAGGAATCATAATGTAAAAAACAAAAAAAAAAAAAAAAAAAAAAAAAAAAAAAAAAAAAAAAAAACAAAAAAAAAAAAAAAAAAAAAAAAAAAAAAAAACAATTGCTAACTACTGCAAATAGACCCCAAACTAATGGTAAAATTGAACGTGTTAATCAAACTATTATAACTAGATTAAAATGTAAACTAAATTCTTATCAAGGTAATATAGCATGGACAAAATTATTACCCCAAGTAACTGAAGAGTATAATAATAACCCTCATTCTGTAACAAAATTCTCTCCATCATATTTAATGTATGGAAAATTACCTTATGATTCCTTATTTCAAAATCAAGAATTGTATCCATCAATAGAAGAAGCCAGAAAAATAGCTCAAAAAGAGATCTGATGATTATCATAATGTAAATAAAGAAAGGTATGCTATTTATTTTAAACCTAGTAATTTTAAAATTGGTGATTTAGTAATGTATGAAGAATTTCAATACCCTAATACACGTAAATTATCTCCTCCATTCTTAGGACCTTATAAAATTTTAAAACAATATTCTGAAGTTACTTATGAAATTGATAAACCTAATCCTTTAACTAAAAAGAAATCAGAAATTGTTCATTCAACTAGATTAAGACCTTTTAATCCAGCAAGTGAGTTTAAGTTAACTGTCAGAAATAGTAGAATTCCTATCTCTGTTAAAAATTAAAATTTATTTTTTCAAAATTCTCTATTAAAAAATCTTTCTGATTATGACTTTTAATACCTGATTTAGACTTAAACCCTAATTATGACAAGTTATTTTTCCGACTATGACAAATTATTCTCCCAATCTTGACCTTTTATATTTTTCATATAATTTGAATTATTTTGTAGCAAAACTTTTCTTCTTATTGTAGGATAATATTTGTTTCTAATTTACAAAATTATAAAAAAGACTTTAACTTGATTATACAAGTTAT